AAACACTCTTCATTTTATTTTTGGTTTTGTGTCATATATACCCTATAAAATTCTTAGAAGTCAGTTTCTATGTACTACTTCTTTAAATCTCTAAGAAGCATGTTGCCAGCAGAAACTGACAGCCATTTTGTATTCAGTCCAGCACAGACTGCTACAGAGGAGATGCGCACACTGCCCTCTTTCATGGAAATTTTCCATTTGTTCTTTCTTGTTTTGTTTTTTCTTAGTCTAAAATAATAAGATGTGTCTGTTTTGTATACCCAGAGTATGTAGGGAGTTTCTTTCTGAAGGACTGAGATACTGAAGCACTTGGCCTGAGGGTATGAAAGAGTAACCACAGTGTAACACAGATATTACTATTTAATATGTTTCATACAGCCAGCCGAAGTGCCTCAGGGTCTTTCCAGGTAGTGGGGGAAAGGTTAGACACCCCAGCTGCACTGGGGGGGGGGGGGATTGATTTGTGCAATAGACTGAGCTATCACTTCTGCCAGACAGTCCGTGTATTTTAACTGCCAGCCTCACAAATGCCCCCAAACCTACAATAAGCAACATCAGAAAAAAGCTTTGGCGGTTTTACTGCTGTTCTGGGTTTGTTTCTTTTTAACTGATACTCTTTAGGGAGCAAGGTGAATTGTAAGTGACCAGGGGCTAATGCCTCTGAAGGAAATGGCTTGTGTTTTGGAACAACCTAATTTCTTTTTAACAAGAAAGTCAAAGCCATGTTTAAATCGTCAAGCTAATCCTCAGTGGAGGATGAAATCGGTTGGAATTCTGGAATGGTGATTAATTATGCTCTCAGATAACCTTTTTGTACATCAGATTAAATGATTTGGGGCTTCTTTTGTTCTGATCAGAAGTAAATGCCGAGGCTGGAGTGTGCACAAACAGTGTGAGTAGATCAGTTTGCATGGTATGCACCTCTGTCCAGAGCTGCATCTGTTGCATCTGTTGCTGCTGCATCCTAACACTGAGCCTGTCAGAGACAACCTGGTAACAAATTGAGTGTGGGATGGATTTTTCTCTTCCTTGACTTAATGACTTCACTAATCCATGGGAATCCATCTCCTTCCCATGCTGGGATAAAGGCCAGTTTCTACTCTGGGGGCCAAAACTCTCGACTCCAGTGCAATGCCCTAGCATACGAGCTTTGCACAGGAGTTCTTCACAGGCTTCCCATCTTCAGGCCACAGAGCACTAATAGAGCTGCTTCAGAGTTCCTAGCGCGGTCACAGAGCTGCAGTGTCCACAACCCTGTGCGCTCCATGAACAGGAATTAGCCAAGTCTATATGCAAACATGTATGTTTAGTGTGAAGGCAGCATTCCTCTCTGGAAAGATCATCCAGATCGTACACTTACAGTTGATGGAGCATTAATGGGTTCTTGGTGGGCATTTCTCTCTCGCTCCTTACTCTGTGAGCATCCCTATTCTCTGAAGGGGATTCATGCTTTGGGGTTAGATAGTTTAATATAGTTTTAATGTAAGATTTTAAAACTGCCATTTGATTGCAGCTTCTAATGACTGTGACATTTTTATCACTTTGTTAAACTGCAGAGAGAGCAGGGAATGATTATGCCTGGGAGAGAGAACAGTGTTACTGCAAGGGGAAAATTGTTCAATTTTGCTTCTTTCCAGTCTGTGATATTTAGTGTGCTAAGAAAGCATGAAAATTCTTACCTGTTGGCATGTGATCAGATGTGATCTGGAGTTAAGATTGTAGGCCAAATTCTTCCCTTGTTTACACCCATAAAACCCTATTGAAGTCCATGAGGCTGAGTAGATGTAAAGAAGAGCAAAATTAGACCCCATATCCTTACCTGCTCGTGCAGTTTTTCTCTTACACCCTCTTCACAGCCTCTTTGCAGCAGGGTTCAGCTTCATTATTTTTAATTGTGCATTTATTGAATGCTTAGGGCCAGGACCTTCCCTTCAGTCACTGTGCACAGACTCCCCATGATCTACAGCAAAGGCCTGTGTGTGCCTGGACTGAAGACGGTAGGCTGATTCTGATCTTGATTTACAAACTGGTGTGAATTAGAAGTAATTCCATTCAAGCTGGAGTCACACTGGTGTAGGTGACATCAGAATCCGAACCAGTGTATGACAATAATTAACAACTCGACTTATGCGTAAAAGACTCAAGCAGGCTAGTGTTATTCTTGCATTTTTGTACTTCACTAAACATAATCCAGGGTAAGAGAGAAATGCCAGGACTAACCAGACAAAAAATCCAGTTAAGGGATTCAGATGTATATGTCCTGCAGCACTGTGTTGTCAGAGATGATTAGTGGGTGACAGCTATATATTATATATGATCATTTCCTTTTCTGGACCTATCAGCTTTTTTTATAGTCTTAGGTGGTTGGTGGTTAGGTTAATGTACCCATCGGATAGCTAATTTCACCCTTTTTCATCACCCTTTCAGAATGTATTAGAGAGCAACTCTAACTGCCGCATATTTACACTGCAGCTCATATACTAGTCCTTTTGTGCCTTTTTAAAAACCTTTCTGTTGATTATATTGTAATGAATTGGACATGTGAGTATGTGTGACTGCCCCTTAGTGACTGGGATCAGCAAGGTTTAACTGTGTATCCTTGGCCCTGTACTGCTAACAGCAAAAGGAGAGTGTGACGTTCTGTACCTTGTGGGAACACCCTACACCCCCATGTTCATCCTTATAATATGATTGTGTGGATCTAATGCAAAGTTTGTCATGTTGGGTGTCTTCGGAAGGTTCATGATATACTGAGCATTGTTGTTATGGTAATATCATAGTAATCATTGTTATAGTAGTGTTACGTTATAGGTTGTAATTTCATGTATATAGTTATGAGGTTGAAAATGTGTCCTCATGGCTTAAAGCAAGCCCATGCAAAAACTCTGCAGAAGCAGAGGGGCAGTTCACACCTCATCAGGGTTTGTATGGGACAAAACCAGCCCAGCCTCACAGGAGCAATGGACACTGGCCTAGGCAACAACAAAGGATCTGTTGGACTCTCGAGTGAGTCACTCCCCTTCCTTTGGTCAGTTTGGGACTGCGATGAGGTAATGCTCACATGACTCTGAAGGGGAAGGTAAAGTCAAGAGGGAAGAAAGGACATGATAAAAGGGAGAGAGGTTTGCCATGCTCTTCCTCTCTCTTCCACCTACATCTACAGACACCACACTAAGCGAGTCAAGTGCTGATCAAAGGGGAGAGCCTGGCTGAAGAGCAACCAGCCAGCCTGTGGTGAGAAGCATCTAAGTTTGAAAGGGCATTGAAAGTGTTAAGATAATCTTAGAATGCATTTTGCTTTTATTTCATTTGACCAAATCTGACTTGTTATGCTTAGATTTTAAGTGATTATAAGTCAATCTTTGTAGTTAATAAATGTTTGTTTATTCTACCTGAAGCAGTGCGTTAGGTTTAAAGCGTGTCAGAGACTCCCCTTGTGATAACAAGTCAGGTACATATCAATTTCTTCGTTAAATTGATGAACTCCTATAATCTTGCAGTGTCCAGCGGGCATAAATTGACACTGCAAGACAGAGGTTCCTAGGGTTGTGTCTGGGACCAGAGGTATTGGCTAGTGTCATTCGGTTGCAAGTAGCTGGGAGCAGCTTTCATGCCAGAGGTTGTGCGTGAACAGCCCAGGAGTGGGGGTTCTCACAGCAGAGCAGGGTAAGGCTGGCTCCCAGAGCCAAGGATTGGAGTGATCTAGCAGTTCACCGGTCCAGATAACACCGGGGGGAACGTCACAGAGAGTTCCCTTTAGTGCAGCTGGCTAGGCTTTTCCCAGCAGGAGGTTCTGAGATCTAAGTTCTCAGGCGCTAGGATGGACAGTGTAGTGATTATCTTGAAGTCCTATGTGGCTATGGATTTGATGCACTCTGTAAGAATGGTTGGTTCATAATGTGTGTTTTTCCGTGTGTCATGCTGTGTGATAGATAGGGCAACCTCCTGCAATATCTTTGGGAGGCCATATTGTATTAAGTTTATGAATGGTTTATGTATCATTGTGGGTCAGATGTTGCATGCACTCCATCAAGGGAAGGTGAACACAGCTCCTCCAGGAAGTGAAAACAGTAGGGGATGGTTAGAGCAAATAATTCAGCTTTAACACCTCCAGAGAGGTATCACCTCTTGGGGAGGCTCGAATATTCTGGTTCAAACTAGATTCTCCAGAGACCAGCAGACAAGGAAAGGGTGCTTGGATAAATAACCTGAGTTTAAACTGACTTGAGGCCTTTCTTGTAACCAAGAAAACCAAGTTGAGCCCTATGTTGGAATTCGGGGTGATCACTGATAAGCTTTTTAGCGTGTGTGTAGGTTCTTTTATTGTTTTTATATTCTTTTTTTTTAATGCTGTTACTTTAATAATAAATGTGCTTGCTTAGAAGGAACTATGTGGTAACTTGTAACTGCTGGCAATACACTGTTCAAAGTCCATGGAGAGGAAGCAAAGCACAGGTGCTGCCGCCTTAAAAATCTCTGTCAGAAGAGAGAGAGACATGGGTCTCCCTCCAGGAGAGGCGACGGCTGGGAGCCAGAAATCTTTAAAAGGGTGCTCTCACAGACCACACAGGAGGAAATACTGGTGCAGTTGCCCTGAAATTGTGATATGCTGTACCTATAAATGTGATTTTTAAAAGAAGATCAGATATTTGGCTTTTCATCCCTGTCATTATTCTTTTAAGAGGCTGTACTAATTTCCTCCTTCCAGTATTAGAAACTAACACTATCTGTTGATCTAGATATGAAAAGCAGAAGTATCTTTTAGCTGACTTCCAGATCAGCTGATGAAATTCTGCCCTTATCACTTGTAAACGTTTTGTAACTAGTTTGTTGATTGGTTTTGCTTTTCCTTCTGGATGTTTTTAACTTATAGCTCCCTGCTGACATTCTGCCTTCATTTTCTTCGAATCTTTTTCACATGCCTGCTACTGGAGGTTTTGGCTACATCCTTGCTTAGCCGACGCTATCACTCGGTAATCTTTCATTGTGTTTCCTTCTAGAGATCCACGTGGAGAAAATCCTTCATGCCACATGTTTTCCGTGAGCCCTAAGACCACAGCTGTCCACAGTGTCATCTGAGATCCTGAGAGTCACACACAGTTATGGGAGATTCTCCAGCCGACACCACTGATGAAGGTGCAGACACATGCTGCAAAGACACTCAGACTGACCTGGCAGAGAGAGTAGCAGCCATAGATGTTGCTGTTGGGCCTAATATAGATGACCAAAATGTTCAAGAAGCAATAGAAGAGAATGACACAGTCTTTTCTGACAGTGTAGCAGACATGCAGAGGAATGGGATCCATAGTGACATGGTAACAAATGAATCTTTACCTTCACAAGACACAGAGGATGTTAATCAGATGAATGTTCCAAAGAAAGCTCCCACTAGGCCTGTTCTATCCAGCAGAAAGTTGTCTCTTCAAGAAAGACCTACAGGAAGCTACCTGGCTTCTACCAATGCTCCAGGCTATGGTCCTTATGCAACGGGACCTTTAACACATATCTCGCCACGTATAGTGAGGAGACCAACGATAGAGTCCAACCGGATCGCCATCTCAGATTCTGAGGTAGGTTTCTTCTCTGCTGTAATGATGATGCCAAGGTATGATGCTGTCTTTTCTGCCTGCTGATAGGAAACTTTAGCCTCCAAAGCCAATAGTTTCAGAGGCACTAAATTTAACTTATGCATAAATGCCTAAAAACAATAATCTATGATTATAAGCAACTTGTAGCATAGGTTGTAACATAGGTAAGCAACTTGTATATGTCTGTGCCTTCAACACTTGAAGCAGTCTTTACTTCTATTGTAAATGGACCATCTGATCATCTAGGTCATGATTCAGTAAGCTACGTAAGCATGTGCCCAGCACATGAGTTGTCCCATTGAAGTTAATGCCTTCCTTATAACTATTCCAGTTGAATAGTAGAAGCAGCAGCATGGTAAGCTAAATTTGGTACCCCATAATTTTTTTTTAATGAGTAGAGGTAAGGCTGGTTTCAAATGGATTTCCTTGGGTTTTTTTACCGCATGGGCCCTCAAGAAGTTTATCTGCTGTGGCAGCTTTGTCATGTTTATTTTATGGGTTTACGCATGTGGAGATCAGGCATTTCCCATCATGCCACGTGAATGAGGTTGTGGTTATTGGAGACATGATTTAATTTCATATGAACTGTAAATATATTGCCATCTCCCTCTCCTGATTTTTACATTTTTATTGACTTTCAAAAATAATTCCTCAGGTAGAAGCTAAATTCCTCAGACAGTGTTTCCAGGATTGCATGGACTCCCACAGAGCCCCACCAAACAGCTTTGTGAATGTGCAGATTACACAGTCCTATTTCACACCTCAGAGCTCACTGAATAAAATAAGGCATGCAGCAGTCCACGGTGGTAACACAAGCTGTACAGTGCTTGAATAATACAGGAAGTGCTCACAGACAATGTTGAAACTTTGATAGGGTTTTCTTTGAAAGCTCTGCATAATGAAAGGCCTGTATTCCTTTTGTAGGCCGTGTAACCCGCTCTCAGAATAGCACTTACAACTTCACTCGTACCATATAAAGCTATTCTGAACAGAGTACTGAAAAACAATCCTGACTGGAGGGAGGCAAAGATGTACCAATCTTTTCCTTCTCTAATGTGTGAGATTCCAGGATACATAAGGCCATTGGTAGTTCTCTTAAGGCCAGATTTCCAAAGAGCTCAGCTCTAGAGCTGGTGAGGATTTTTTTCATTGGAAAATGCTGATTCATCAAAACCAAAACCTTTGGGGGAAATTTATTGGTTTTGACAAAGCTTTTGTCAGGAAGGTGTCTTAGATCCAGGATAAAATTTAGAGAGAGAGAGAGACCCCAGGCTAAAGTAGCCAATAGCTCAGGAGCTGGGGAGACCCAAGTTCAAGTCTTTGCTCTTAATGAGGTTGAATCTGGGTCTTCCACGTCTCTGGTGAATGCCCTTTGTGAAAGGGCTTTGTTTTGTTCTGATGCAGAACAAAAACAAATACTGAAATCTCAAATATTTTTGCAAAACACAATCCTTGTTTTCTGGCCAGCCCTACTCAGCTCCCATTTGGTCGCTTATTTTGGTGCCTAAATGGGAGCTGAGCTTTTTTGAACATCTATCCCTACGTGTAGATGCTGAGCACTCAAGAATCTGGCTCCTCCATGAATATTTCATTCTGGCCACATGCCTGTTTCCCCGTGTTTCTCTTCCTCTTTTGCTTCCTGTTTCTTACCTTCCTCATTTCTCTACTTTTTACAGAAAGATAGCTGCCAAGCCAATACAGTTCAGTGACCGGTGGTTTCATGGTGAGGTTTCATCTTTCATCATTAGATAGTAAGAATTTAGTGGCACCTCCTGCCCTTCCCCTGCATGGGACTTGAAGGTCCCTGACTGCAAAGACCAGAACTGTCCCTCTGCATGTAGTAGAGTGGAAGCAGGATTTGGGGAGTGTACATGGGGGGGTGAGGATCCCCAGCTCATCGCAGTGTAATGCTTCTTGGAGATTCCTCTGTGGCAGGGGGAAGGAGGTTGGAGTTGAAGGTGGATAGGAGTAGGTGCAAGTGGTGATGGAGCAGGGAGTCTGTGACTACACAATATCTGATAGCCTTGTCCTACATAGAGGGGTTGCTGCTCCAGCCCTGAGGTTGCAGTAGGAGGCATAGAACAGCTGGGATGGGGAATCTTTTTCCCCCTCCATCACCTATACTGAGAACCCTCAGCACAATCTGGTCACTCAAGCGGTTGCTGGAAGAGAGAGGTTCGATGGCAGTTTCCACACCATTATTGCCGCCAAATCTCCTTTCCCTCTGGAAGCAGCAGCTAGATGGAGGAACACGGTACCCTTTCAGGTGGGCCCCAGTTCTCCAGTTTCATAGTCTTCTCATGTACTTGCCTCCCTTAGTGTGGGAGACTTTAATAGCTTGGGGGGTTCAGTGGGGCGAGGTGCATTTTGTGGTGTCTGAATTGTTTGCTCCACAGGAAGGGTTTCGGTGGTGGTCATCAGAGATGAGAGAGGTTACATGGCCAGTCCACAGAAACGACTTGACAGTGAAGGTGAGGAGGGGAAGATGAGTGACTCAGTAAAGACAGGGGGATTCAGGATCTGTTGGAAGGAAGAGCCGAGGTCTTCTTAAAGGGATGGGTAATATCAAAAGGTTCAGAGAGTCAGATGAACATCTAAATTATTGGATGCATAACTAAAGGTTTTAAGGTACTGCCCACAGCTTATCCTTATGGGCTAACTCCTAACCTTTTACACCCATGCCACCCTGCTGCAGTCAGTGAGGTGTAGCTGAGGGCAGAGGATAGCTCTGTATTATGGAGGCTACATCGTTTAATAGCTAGAGCATGAGCCTGGAAGTCAAAACTCTGGGTTCTAATCCAAACTCTACCATTTAGTTACTGAATGACCTTGGGCAAAGTCACTTAGCCTTCCTGTGGTTTAATTTTCCCCATCTGAAGAATGGATATAATTCTGCTTACTCCCTTTGTAAATCCCATTTTGATCCTCAGGTGAAAGATACTGTAAAAGCACAAATTATTATTACTTTTAAACTATTGTTCTGTTGTATTTTTTGGAGTGGCGGACCTTTGTGAGTCACTGAGCAGTGAGATAGGAATTCATTGCACTCTAGCACTAATAAAAGAAAATATATGAATATAACAAACTATAGGTGTCTGCAGTATTCTTTAGCCCCAGTAATATGCTTTAATGGAGGTTCAGAACAAATTTCAGAAAACTTACTTGACTTCTATATGTCAGTGCTGTAATTCTGCAGTGATTTTTACAGTGCTGGAAATGAAATTTGTTTCAAGGTAACTGCAGTGGAATATATTTATAACAAGTTCCAATCTGCAGGGAAATTCAAAAGAATCAAAACCCTCATATATAAAATCAATATCTTAGTCAATAGATGTTGCTTTCGAAAAGAAGCTTGGTTTGAAAGGCAAATGCAGAGACCTTCATTTCTCTGTTCCAGTAGCAGTTTTTATTGTGCAGTGCTGCATTTTTAATAGTCAGTTTAACGTAGCTATTAAGAGCCCTGCTACACCATGACTGAAATACTTAACAAAGCTGCATTCTGTGGAAAGCATCATTCATATTAATGGAGTGTCACTGCAACAGGAAGAGGTGAAGGGATACATTGGCAGGGAGTCTAAGTCAGAGGGACCTTGTGATATTTTTAAAGACAACAATATTATGGTTCAGGTTTTAAGGGTAGCCTGGAAATCTATAGGCCCAATCTTGTAGACTTTGGTTATGGTTTTTATTATCTGTATATTTTGCAGTACAGGCTTTTCCCATCCAGCACTCCTCTAGAATCCTTCATTTGTTCAGTATAGAGTGTGGGTATGTGCACCCAGAAGTTTTCATCTGTTTCTTTCTGTATTTGTACAGTACCTAGCACAGTGGGCCCCAGCTGTGATCAGGGCTCCCCAGGCACTACCGTAATTCAAATAATGGTATCTTCCTGTTTGCTTTCCAGGCCACTTCTGCCCTGATTTACATCCAACATAACCCCACTTGCTTCAGACAATCATTTTCAAAAAGCAAGGATGAACAAATCTTTCTGTAGTTGATTGTGCCACACAAGCAGGGTTCATTCTTACCTGTATACCTAGGTATTTAGTTGTACCCTGGGGAGCTGGGTGTGCCAATCTGTGTGAACTGGGATGAGAAGGTGCTCTAGGCTCTTGGATAGGGATCTGCAGTCTTTGTGAGGGAGGGGCAGAGTTACCTTGGGGAGAAAAGTTGCTATGGATTTGTTTGTTTTCCCCCCTGAGCTTTGATTCTCATAAGCATTTAGGGGTAAATTTAGAGGCAGGTTGAGGGCTTGCGTCCACATGCTCACAGATACTTGGTTTCCTGGGAGCAAACTGTAGGTGTTGGTCATGTTTGTGGAATACACATTCCTTAGTACGTCAGTGTGGTCTGTATGTTTAAGGTCAGCACGGTTATCTATCCAGAAAATACTTTTTTTCCCCATCGAGGCTAATCTTTTATGGCATCTGTATGAGTAGACCAACGCCTCCGGCTAGTACTCTTCTAGGAAGTGTCCTGGATAATTGTGCTTCTGTGAGGTGTTTCTCCATAAGACATTACAAACTGAAATGAGAGGGAAACATGCAGGACAGTAGGCTCTGGGTCAGATTTTGAGAGCTTGGCCTCCATTAAGACATCAGTACTATGCTTACACCAAAAATTTTATTTACTCATGTGGAAGTTTAAAATACAACCTCACATTATTATTATTATTGCTCAATTGTATTATAGTAGCATCTAGCAGTCCCAACCAACATTGGGATGCAATTGTGTTGAGTGCTGTTTAGACAGATAGGACAGCATCTCTGCCCCAAAGAGCTTACAGTTTAAATAGACATGACACACAAAGGGATGTGATGGGAAACTGAGGCACTGGGAGGTGAAGTGGCTTTCCAAAGGTCACACAGGAAGAGCCACAGCTAGGAACTGAACCCATATATCCCAAGTCCCCAACAAGTCCTTTATCATAAGACTGTTCTTCCTCTCTGGCCAACCCATGCAGTGATTAAGATAGTCAGCAG